TATATATATATATATATGATCCACGTATGTCTCACAGAAATATACAAGAATAAACGCAAACGAAAATACAACGATTGTGTAGGTTGACATAATAGAAATTTATTCAACACGAATATTTGGAGGATAGACACAAGCGTGTCAGAAATATTCGTGTTGAATAAATTGTATGTCTCTAATTATGTCAACGTATGAAATCGTTATATTTTCGTTTGCGTTATTCTAGTTTCCCCAAATTCACAAGACACTAATCCATTCACAAATTTATCATTCTTACAAAAATAAAATTCTGACTTTCTAATTATAATATTTTAGGGTTTTCACGCTTTACGAATACCACGTTAGTTATTGGTATCTCATACCTGATGTTAGGGGGCTTTTTAAATTATTATTATTAATAGTACAAGTAGTTTAGGCTTCATCTTGGAAGAAAAATGTGTTTGCCAAAAAATAATAGCCGACTAACACTATAGAATCTTATTTTGGGACGCTATTGCAGATACCTCAGCCAAACTTGTTTTGGTCTTACCTCTTGAGTATGTTGTGTTTTTGTCCAATGAAAATGGCCTCCTTGTGCGTTACCGCCCAACCAAAATGAATATGCATAGCTTACTGAAGAAGCTGGTTTATCTGGAATTCCAAACGGCTGGCTACTCTTGTTCTGTCTGGTAAATTGAATTTAATTATATAATCAGGTAATAATTATTTAATACCATTGAACCCTATGTTCACATAGTATTATTGATTTATTTAGGCCTGTACTAATGTCAGGTGTGTATGTAGGCCTCACAGCTACAGTCAGTAGTGCTGTGACAGCAATGTTTAGGCCTAGCTAGACTATGAACTAGCCTAGGCCCTGCATGCTTGTTGCTATCTATCGCAGCGCAGCTCTAGCTATTGTTTGATTTGATATTGCAAGCCTTCAACGTTACAGAAAGTGCTTGATAGTAGGCCTAGCCTAATTAAGTAAAGTAGGCCTAGCCTATACTGCTGATCGTCATCATAGTCACTCTTGGCCAATGCTAAGCTTAAGTAGGCCTATATTAAGATTAGGCCTAGGTAGGCCTAGCCCTAGGCCTAGATCAAACTCATTTCATGTAGGCCTATGTTTGTTTGACTTAGGAATTTAATTAATAAAAGAAGTAGTAATAAATAATAATTAAAACAAATTCTTGTTGGCCTATTTTTAGCCAACAACAATAAAAAGATTACAATCACAACAACCCAACCCTCCACTTCAGCCCCTCTCCATCTGCTTCTACTAGGCATAGGCTACTCCCCACAACCCCTTTCTACATGATTTATACCCACAAACATGGGGCTAGATACTGTGGTTGTACCAATCCGGGCAATAACAGTGATGCGCCTTTTATTTTGTGCTAGGCCTAGTAGTACAGTACCTTCAAATAGATGCACAATTTAGGTAGGTGCAGACTGATATAATATTAGTCCTACACTAGAAATCCTGTGCTAAAAAATTTGGCCTAGAAATTTGTCTGCACATTTTGGAAAATAAGGGCCGATTTCCATGCAGATTTTTGCTGAAAATTAGGCTTTGACCTAATCTTAAGACTTAATGTATAAACAATGTAATTGTCAGTATTTACAGATCAGCGCATCTACAGTATTTTCTAGTGATATTCTGCACAATTTGAGATGGTTTTTGAGGTATTATCTGCGCAATTAAAAAACTTTACAGTAAATTTACAATAATTGGTGATAATAATAATAATAATAATAATGGTCAACTTACAAGGCACATATTGTCATGATCTCTATGCGCATCACAATGAAAAAATAAGTTTAAAGAGATAAATATCAAAATAAGATGTGGCTAAATATATTCCTACTCCTTAATTTGCTGTCATGATATTGTTATTTATGTCCACAGATATATAACTACAACATGAATCCTGTTGTGCAGCAACAGGTTTTAGAAGCCACAAAAATAATAGAAAGTCAAGTCGATGCAGAGATCGAAAGGATCGACCACCTGGACCAAGACGACCTGGAGAGTATACGCTGTCTCTTATACACATCTTAGGCCTATATTAAGATTAGGCCTAGGTAGGCCTAGCCCTAGGCCTAGATCAAACTCGCCACACTTAATCCCTAGGAGTTCACCAGAGACTAGCATGGTCTCGTTCATTTTCATTTCACTTTTATTCAAGGATCAACTTACATTAAGATGGGTCGCAAGTCGTGGCCCTAAGGCCAAATTGTATGCGAGTCTAACGCTTTCAAAATACTATAAAAACCTTTAAAAA